CATATCGCAATATTCTGAATGTGTTGCTAAGTAAATGTCTTGACTCAAATTTTCACAATACAATCATATTGTAATGCAATTATTATCTAGTCAAGTTGATACTGAACTTCATACTGAACATTTTGAACTTTTCAAAATTTTCACTCTTATGCTTCAACTAAGCACATGTAATCATATCCCAAAAATTAAATCTCCATTTAATATAAAGATTGAACCATAATTAATTATTCTCCCTCCTAATTGAATTAAAATTGTGGACTATCAAAGAATTACAGTCAATATGCGTAAATGCAATAGGCTCTGATACCACTGTAGGGAATTATAGGTACTACGCAGCGGAAAAACATGAATCATATTCATACAGTACCTAATCCCAAGATCTAATGCATAACACATAAAGAACATATAATCGTACCTTTGAAGCGTGATTCCACAAGCGATCGAGCAAGAACAATGGGAGATAAAGAACCTCAAGCGTGATTCCTCTACTTGGTCCACGGGCACAGATTAAGACCTCCACTAATGCTAGTTAGTTGCAATTGAACTCTTCAATTGACCTTCTACGGAGAAGTGCGAGCAACGAACCACCATGAACCACCACACGCGCCACCAAGGTGGCCGGCCGTACGAACGAGGGGAGGAGAGAGATAGCCGTGAAATAGAGAGAAGAATTAGGGTCTTTAGGCTTGGTTTCCTTGATGTCAAAATACACTGTGTGTGAATAATGACTACTTATTTGCAACCCTAGGCATGGATCTTATTTATAGATCTCATCTCTAAATAAGAGCCCATGTCAAAAGCCCAAAACTTATTTCCAATCTAACTATGCTAGCCCAATCCATTTCATGGTTAGTTAATTGCTCATGAGGCCCATTAATGGGCCTCTAACTTGCTTAACCCAATACCCTTGTGTGTGACCTCATAGGATCCATTCTAGCGGGCTTTGGACCATTTGACTAGCCCAAAGATCATCTCTCATAGTCTAGCAACAGATGATGACGTTCCAAGAGAACGAACTTATTATCTCCATAATAGTGATCCTTGATATATCTAGTAATTGCACTTATCGAAGACACAATTCCTTCATTAAACCCAAATCCCTTTAATTAAAACCCCATGAATCCAAACCCTAGCTATAATTTAAATACTTGGTAGATTAGTGTATAGCTTTATTTTGTTATTTTGTTTTGAAGTTACTAACCTTCTTCTTTGTGTAGTGTTTCCTTTTCTTTATTTTCTATTCTCACTTGGCTTTGAGGTTCATGCTATAGCTTTATGGAGCTCCATAGAGGTGGAATTTTCGTTTACCTCATTTATAGTGGCTTAGCTTGGATAGCTCGGTGAGATTTTTCTAATATTCCTCTTTACTTTTCTTTTATTGTTTTCTTAGATTAGGAATAGTTTATAATGAGTTGAATGGTTCGAGGATGTTTTCTATTAAAACCATATAGGTGTTTGGGTCATTGACATTGTTATCAAATGACCACTTGTTTGTCGATTGGGATTTATATGATTAGCATGCATCTTTTTACTTCTCTTTCTCTTTTCCTTTCATTTTCCTTCTCTTCTCTTCTCTTTTCTCTTTATTTTTCTTTTCGTCATTTTCAAAAATCAAAAATACAAAAAAAAAAAAAAATGATTTTGAGGCATTGTTTTTGGTTTCTTTTGATGTTTTGCTTATGATTTAGACATAATAATGTAGGGAATATTTCAAGCATCCCATACTTGAGCCCCGCTGTGATCATACACTTAAGCATGGTGGCGCCCAAAGGGAAGGAAGCTAGAGCAAAAGAGTCGCCGATAAGTTTTAGGAACTTGTAAACCGTTCACAGGGTGAAGGTTACACCCCTTCACGATCCACGAGATCGCTAACTCCATAGTGGTCTGGAACCATGACTGGATATTGGGGATGAAGGTAAAAATCCAACCTAAAAGAGATTGAACCTACCCTAAAAATAGGCCTCTACTTTATTCTTCTCATATTCATGTGCGCTTTCTAACTAACATACAATCATTCGGTTAAGCCTACACCTGTTTAATCTATGTTGGTTGAATATTAATGCACAAACAAATCTATTATTGGCGATCACTTGAATTATAATCATATTTGTCTAAACAAGATTATTAATTATCTTATTAAACGTGATTTTAAGTACAAATTCCCTTTAAACATGCATAAAAGGTGTGATCAAGCAACATAATAATAACAAATCATTATCATCATGATAATATTCTCAAAGCAAAATAATATTAGCTAGACCTTAGGCATGATACTAACAAGATTAATAACAAATCCTATCATGTCACTAAACATTAAAGATCAAAGTTTTAACCCTAACACGATAATTGGAAGAAATAGGAAGAAGCCTAAGCATGATACTAGAAAGCAATAAATAACATCCTAACATGATACTGGGAATTAAAATAAAACTATAAGCTTGATTAAAACAACTTACTTGGATGCCTCGTATCTCTTTCTAATAAAAAAATAGATGCGTTAGTAACTTCAATGAAAATAGTAAATCAGCAAATTAAATTAAATAAATTAAATAGGGATTCGGGACCAAACCCTCATAAATTATCAACCTTTCACGTCTAGGGAGAAGTCAACTTCGAACTTGGCTAGGTGTGTCTAGAACTTGTGAATGCGGAATTTTGTAAAAGGGGAAGGTTTAGAAAGAGAGAGAAGAAGAATCTTATTGCTTTTAGAGAATTAAGGATGATTTATGATGATTGTGAATGAAATTAGGGGAAATACGACCCCTATTTATAAGAAAATAGTCCGGAATCAATAGAAAAGAATCAAAATTTAAATCGGAATGAAAGTAACCTCTGTCGCCAGCGACAGAGCCCCACGTGAAACGACAAGCATCACGCATGGTGATAGGCTCTATCGTTTGGAGATAGCTTTGTCGTTTGGCACAAATTAAAAGATAAAACACGCTTTTATACGGAATCCTCTTCTTAATAAAATTAAGTAATTAAACTCCGTTTTTGGGTTTACTACCACCTCGGATTGTTGTACAACTGATTTTGTTGATATTTCATCATCAACTTGTTCCTCCTCACTTTCCACAAAGGAAACGATATTCGCCGTAACCACAGTAAAGTAGTCTTCCGGGAAATATTCCTCCAAAGTTACAGGAGACAACGGCTCTTGCTCAAGCAAATCAATAAGGAGGACCTTTTGCTTGCTGGCCTTTTTTGCTTTCTTTTTACCCTTTCACTAGTAGAAAAATACAAATATGCAGCCCCCTAATGCCACCGGTTCAGGCCAAACCGGTGGCAAAAACCAGCCTAAAAAGGGGCGGGTTTTTAAACAAAGAGAAAAGGCACCTGTTCAGCCCAAACCGGTGCCAAAAATAAAAAGGGCACCGGTTTGAACTAGTGCCAATGAACCGCTGCATTAAAAAAAAAGCCCGCCCTTATACTTTCTTTCTTCTTCCTTCTCTCTTTCATTTCACTATTTCATTCAAGCCCAAACCCTTAGCCTACTGCACTCTCTTTCTCCATTTTCCCACCACCATTACAGCCGCCACCGTCGCCGGCCACTTGCCCCTCCCTTCTCTTTCTCCCCTGACCGGGTTTTCCTCCCCTGTTCCTTCTCTTTCCCTGTTCAATTTCAAGTGGGTTGTGAATATGTTGAAGCTAAGCCGCGCCACCACCTGCTCGCCGCGCCGCCGTGGTTCTGCTGCCCTAAGCTCGTCGTGCTGCTGCTGCTCTCCTCCACCACCGAGCTAATTTCCCCACTAATTTCAAGGTTTTTCCTTTTTTTTTATTTCACAATTTTTTTCTAATTATGTACATATATTAATGTGTTTTTCATGTTGAATCATTGTTTTCAAATTAAAATTTAGGTTTGAATATAATTATACACCAATTTTTCTCAATTTTAGGTTGTTTTATTGGGAATTTGTGAAAATATTAGTGATTTTTCTCAATTAGTTGGATTTTATTATGTTTTAATGGTTAATTTAATTTGTTTTGGTGGATAATTTTGAAATAATTATAGAATATATATTAACCTTGGTACTTAAATAGGTGAAATTTGGTATGTTACTTTTAATAGTTAATTTGAAGTTGTTTTGATGGATTATTTTGAATAAGTTAGAGATTAGAAACTTTGTTATTAAATTAGTTGAATTTTGGAATGTTTAAATGGTGAATATTAAATTGTTTTGATGGGTATATTTGAATAAATTAGAGATTAGTAACCTTGTTGCTAAAGTAGATGAATTTTGGAATGGGTGAATGGTTACTTTTAAGTTGTTTTGTTGGGTAATTTTGAAAAAATTAGAGATTAGTAACGTTGTTAGTTTAGCAATTTTGAATAAATTACATGAATTAAATTAGTAAATACATAGTTTAGCAATTGTTAGTTCGATGAATGATGAGTTTTAGCTTATAATTAAATTAGTGAATTGACATGTTATGAGAAAGAAATAGTACATACATAATATTTAACATAATTTTTGTTTATTGTTTTTTTTTAATAGATTTGTGAATGGAAGCACGAGTTTAGCTTGAGGATTACATATTGAGCTCAAGTGGGTAGTTGCTATATTGGTATGACTTATAAACTTTACTAAGCTATATTTCTTTCTATTTATCCATTTAATAAAAGTTTATTCGTGAAATTGCAACTTGTGTATTGTTTAATTGCAAATAAATACAACAATATATAGAATACTTGCATCATCATATGCCTAGATACCCGTTCAAGGCTTTCTCATTAGGAGACACTAGTGGAAAAATTGTCATTCGTAACGGGCTATTTGTAACGCGCAAAGCTATGCCCGTTACAATAAACATATTCGTAACGGTCAAAATAACAGTCCATTACAAATGTTTATTCGTAACAGGAACTATATTGCTCGTTACGGAAACTATGTTATTTGTAATGGGCAACATACTGCCCGTTACGAATACTATTTATTTGTAACGGACAAGATATTGCACGTTACAAATGTCTTGGTCCAGACCGTCCAGTTATGAGAAAATCTCATTCTTATAATTAGGGTTTTATTATCTCTCCTCTAGTCCTTAGCCGTTATCCTGCCCTCTTTCCTCTCTCCTCTCTCATTTCACGCATTCACTCAATCTTTCTCTTCTCCTCAAGTCCTAACTCAATCTCCTCCATTTTTATATTTATATGAACAACGGAACAAGCTCAGGATTCTGAACATCAAAATCCGGCGATCATTCGTCGAATCTCTACAAAGTAGTGGAATTTGGGGGCATTTTCAAATTTTTCCAGAAATTCAACTCAATTTTCTCACTCGCTAGGTGATTAATCCTTGTATCATGACTTTAATTGCTTAATTCTTTTGATTATTTTTTTTTGGGTAAATTTTTCAATTGAGAAAATTTGCAAAGCTGAATTGGTTTATGGTGTAATTTGGAAGAGAAACGGATGAAATTCTGAGAAATTGATAGCTGAATGTTGCTATTTTAGGATAGGTTATCGTTAATCCTTTCTAATTTTGAGTTAAATGGGTGAACTAGAGAGAGGGAAACATATTATTTGTTTTTTAGGGCTATTGTTATTTCTTAATTTGATTGTTTGTACTTGAATGTTTGAAAAATACTTTGAATTTGTGTCTTTCCTTGGCGGCGGCGGCTGTAACTAGGTTTTTGGTTGGTTCAGTATTATGGTTTGCTAGAATTTTGTGTTTATGGTTTATGTTTGATGTTCTTATTTCCGTTATATGTTTGTTTAGTGAGGACTTAATTATTTAGTGATAAGGTTGCCTATATCTGGTTCGGTTTAGATGTTTCAAATGCATGTGGATGTTAGAGACTATATACTTATATCTTGTGTGCCCAGTTTGCTTTGATTTATGATTGTAGTATGGCACTTTGGCATCTACATCGTTTTGATTTTTTGAATATGTAAAGGGTGTCTATATTGAGGATTGAAGTGATGCTGAAATGCCGCATCTTTAGATTTCATCTTCTAAGTAGTCTACTATACTGTACATTAGAAGGTCTTAAGATTACTTGTAATTCAGAAAATTTATTTTTATTTTATATAATTTGTTTGTTTCTACTTTCTAAGTCTTTGTCCCATCTTTTGTTTTTAAGCCAAAGTGCAGTGCGATATGTTTTGTGAATGAATAAATATGAGAGAAATATTAAAAAAAAAACTCTGTTTCGTGAATTATATAGTAGCCAATTCTGACATGATTGTGTGTCACATTGGGTATGATATAACTATGTAAGCAAATTGCTATCTTTTATCATTTGTCTTTTAAGGTGGATGTAAGAAATTTGCAATTCACGAATGTGATGATTGTGGAGTTTAAAAATTTTAAGCATTAATTTAGACCGTTAATGTGATGGTTGTATTTTGTAGATGGGGTCCACTTCTTGAGCAAGCCACTTACAAGAATCGGCAACGTCTTTATCTCTCTGAACAGGCAATATCATCCTAATGATTTATCTTTTCATTTAATTTTGTTGTTAAGTTCTATCATCTTTTTACTAAATGATGATCCTCCTTATCTTTATTTTCAGAGTGATGGGAGTGTTCCTAATACACTTGTTATTGCAAACGTTGAAGTTGTTAAGCCTAGAGTTGCTGCTGCAGAGCATATATCTCAAGTAAAATCATCTTTTCATGCTAACTTCTTTGTCATAAATTTTCTTCTACTAGTACTAGTAGTTTAGAATGCTTAGCCTCTAAACTTTCTTTTCTGTTTTGATCTTGTTATCTCAGTTTAATGAAGAGGCTTGCTCTCCGTTTGTAAAGAAGCTCAAAACCATCATACATCCTGGGGAGGTATGCTTATTTTTCAGTTTCCAAGGGGTTAATTAATAATCATGTAATGAGCTTGCTTGTTGAGCACTTTCAAACTAGTTTCATATAGTGTTGTTATCTAGGTTAATTTGTTTTTCGCTGCTCTTTTTTACATTTCAGGTTATCGATGTTCTTCACCTGGGTCGCACTAATGTTTCCAAAGTTTGATCTTCTTTTCTCGATTGTTTATCCCCTTTGAATTTGAGAAAGTTGTCGAGTTTCCTGTCACTTACAAGAAGCATCCGCATTTAGGATGGGGTATGATTTATTTTTGGTATTTTATTGCGTTTGTTTATTTTTATTTTTTGGTTCAGATCTATAGTCCTTAATAATCTTGTATGATTCACAATTTTCTGCATGCTATGATGATTATGATAATTTTTTCTTTGATTTTTAGTAATTCCTTGGATTTTGTCTGACATTTCTTGAATTGTTTCTTCAATTTATCCGCTTATTGTTTCAATAAATGTTATTATTTTTTTTGCTCCTGGATTTTTGGTTATTTTTGTTAGGAATCTGGTGGGTTTTGTATCTGAGTATTTTTTTCTGGGTTAATTATGAATTGGTTAATTATGAATTGGTTACCAGAAAACATGGATCAATGTTCTTGATTAAATCATTGAGCTAATGTGAATGTGTTCGATATTCAGGTATATGTTTATAATAATGATAACTTGTTATAATAAATTGCAATTGCGTTATTTAGAATTTAACAAATGTTCTATTTATGGTCTTGTTGCTTTCACATGGGTCACTTTAGTGTTTCGGGTTTGGTTAATGATATGAATAAGTGAGGAAAAGTTGATATATTGATGATTTTGTTGTCTTGCATTATGAAATAATGTGCTGTTTTTAAGTAATATAATTGCATTGATAAAGATATTTATGTGGTCATCGTCCCAGATAATGATGTATAATGTTACATTGATAAAGATATTTATGTGGTCATCATCGCAGATAAAATAAATAATTACATTGATAAAGATATTTATGTGGTCATCGTCGCAGATAATGATGTATAATGTTATGGTTTAGAAGTTAGGTAGAAAAGGTTGTGTTTTATACTATGTTCTGTTTAGAACTTTTATTTAATGTTCTACTGTCTGTGCACCATCTAATTGGGAATATGGTATGATTTAAATGCAGATGCTAAGAGGTTGATTGGAAGGAGATTTAGTGATGCATCAGTTCAGGCTGACATGAAGTTGTGGCCATTTAAGGTTACACCCGGATCAAGGGAGAAGCCCATGATTTTTGTAAGCTACAATGGCAAGGACAAGCAGTTCGCTGCTGAGGAAATATCCTCCATGGTCCTTACCAAGATGAAGGAGATTTCCGAGGCTTACCTTGGTTCAACTGTGAAGAACGCTGTTGTTACTATCCCTGCCTACTTCAATGACTCTCAGCGTCAGGCAACCAAGGGAGGTATGCTTACGGTCTTGACAAAAATGCCACCAGTGTCGGTGAGAATAATGTGCTCAACTTTGATCATGGAGGTGGTACTTTTGATGTGTCTCTTATTTCATAATATATAAGCGGTACAATATTATTGTCTAATTTTATAGTTCATTTCTTACATCGATCTTTTGATAAATCTATTTTGTTACTTAGTAGCTGATGGTCTATGTTCATGCTGAGAATGAGTTTAACGTTAAAAGTTTATCTGCAATGCATCCGGAATAGTTGTTGCTCCGTCTTCGCCATCCTAAATTTGGTAATATTCAGAAATATAGTTTAGTGCAATCCTATCTTGTGTTATTGAAACAAGACTCTATGATCATTACATTTCAGAGCTGACTTTATCTTATTATAATCATTATTCCTTCTAGAAGCTGCTGTGATTATGTGTGATTTCTTTTTTATTTTACCATTGTTGTTGTTGGTGATATACCATGATTGTTAAGTCTTTTTCACAGTAAGGCTTGTTATTTTTTATATGCTCCATGCTCCTCTTGCTATTATCTTGGAGATTCTCTACTTCTTTAACTTTTGAAGTATTTTTTCAACACAGTACAGTAATTTTATTGGTTTATCAGTTGGGGTTTTGGGGTCACTTTGATGGAAATGTGGTATTATGTATTTCAAGATAATATGGGTTTGGGTAAATATTATCTAACCTTTTTTTTTTAATGTGATAATATTATCTAATTCAATTTTTGGATATTTTTTTGTGTATCTTTTCTACTATCATTCTGATTATCATAATCTAAACATGCTTGTAGCTCCCTTTTGGAAAATCCATGGCATAATTCAGCATTTGAATATTCTGGCTTCATCAAACTTTTTCTTTCTACTAATTTAGATGCACTAAGGGATTTAACATGCTTTACTAATGACAGAAACGTTGATGTAGATGAGTATGACAAGTACTCATATGCTAAACAAAAAGAAGGGGGCAGCTTTTCAATGAACCTAAGTTACAACACTTGTTTTCTAGACATTATTCAGACACTATCGATCACCAAGGATACATACAGCAAGGACCTGGAGTCTGAGTGTGCTGCTTGGAATACAGAAGATCTGCATGCTTTGGGCGATGAAGTTTTTTGGTTTCTGTTGCTCTTGATTGCTGCTGTTACTACTGGCATGCTGCTGTTACTACTGGCCTGCTGTTGTTTATGCTTATAATGTATTTCATTACTAAATTTTATAATCAATAGCGTTTTAGACTTCTCAATAGTTTAGTTTATAATTAGCATACAAAATTGGATTTGGTGTATATGTTATGTTTGATAATGTTTGTGGCATGAAATATTTAGGTTTGTTATAAATTATTATTATAATTTGGGTGGTAAATGGAAAAAAGAATAGGGGTATTTGTAACTAGCACCTGAAATGCTAGTTACAAATGCCCCTAATTTTTTTGTCTTATTTGGAGATTATTCGTAACGGGCACTTGAAACACCCGTTACAAATAACCCATTATTCGTAACGGACATTGTAAGTGTCCGTTACGAATAAGTAGTTATTCGTAACGAACATTGTAAGTGCCCGTTACGAATAATCTTAAATGCCCGTTACGAATAATGACTTATTGTATTAAAATATGAACTTATTCGTAACGGGCACCTGAAATGCCCGTTACAAATAACCCATTATTCGTAACGGGCATTTGAATTGCCCGTTACGAATAAGTTGTTATTTGTAACGGACAGTGCCCGTTACGAATAACAATGGCCATCCGTAACGGCCGCATACGTAACGGACAATGCCCGTTACGGATGGGCCCTTTTTGCCCGTTACGGATGGCCTTTTTTCCACTAGTGAGAAAGTCTTCAATAGTCCCCGGTTGGGACTGTTCTTGAATGTGTACTCTCACTTAGGTGGTGAATGTATGTTTTCTTTTCAATTTTAAGGAACATCTTGGCTTACCATTTCCTTACTATGTTATCTGGGTACATATGTGGGTAATTAATTATCTACATCGTGTACTTGGAGAAATAGGGGGAAATGCTGCCGGATTTTCCTTAAAATTGAAAAGTTGACATACATTCACTAGTAAGAGCAGACATTCAAGGATGGGTTAGGTTGGAGTGATAAGGACCCTTTGGAAACATGCATTTTTTCACTATATGAATGGTATATTCACGTTTTATACTTAAATTTAATTTACATAAAATATGTAGAAATTACACATTATTCATTATATGTTGCTATATATGTTTAGAGACAATTTACTAAATGGAGAAGGATCGTGGTTGGATGTATGGTAGACGCGATACATTGAAATTTTGGAATGGGGTTCAAGAGTTTTGCGAGAGGACTTTAGCTTATCAACGCAAACTGGGTGGCAAAGACCTTTTATTATCCTTGTGTTGATTGTAATAATGTGAATGTGGTCGATAGTGTTGAAATCATTAGAGATCATGTATTATGTCGTGGGTTTAGGCATTTATACCATGTGTGGATTTGGCACGGAGAAAGTGGAGAGTACATTGGGGATCTTGATCGGAATGATGTGTGTGTTAGAAGCAATGAGATTCATGTGGATAAGGAATACGAGAATGATGACTATATTGTTGATAATGGTGAGGATGGAGCCGATGATGATCAGGCGGATGAGGTCGAGGATGAACAAGTGGATGAGATGTTGCATGGTTTTGAAGGTGGAGTGTTTGAGTTATTATCGGAGGCTTCCAAAAAGCCTTTGTATCCTGGGTGCAAAAAATACTCCAAACTATCGGTCGTGCTAACACTTTTCAACATTAAGTCGAAGCATGGGTGGACAAACATTACTTTTACTTCTTTGTTGACCGCATTAAGTGATATGTTGTCTGATGGGAATGAAATTCCTAAGTCTTACTATTACGCAAAGAAGCTCACGTGTCCTTTTGGTTTGGAGTATAAGAAGATACATGCATGTCCTAATGACTGTATTCTGTACCGAAATGAGTATGAACAATTGCAGGAGTGTCCACGGTGCAAGCGGTCGCGCTAAAAGCGCATGAGTTGCAATCCTGGTACGGAGGGACCTCCTGCTAAGGTGTTGTGGTATCTTCCCATTATTCCAAGGTTTAAGCGTCTATTCTCAAAACCAAAAGACGCTAAAAACTTGAGGTGGCATGCAGAGGGAAGAAAGAAAAATAGAATGCTGAAGCATCTAGCTGACTCTCCATAGTGGAAGAACATTGATTTGAAGTTTGAGAAATTTGGTGATGAAGTCAGAAATTTATGGCTTGGGTTGTGCACGGACGGGATGAATCCATTTGACACTCTTAGTACCCAACACAGCACATGGCCGGTACTTTTAGTGATTTATAATTTACCTCCTTGGTTGTGCATGAAACGTAAGTATGTACTGCTTTCATTGCTAATAACCGGGCCTAGGAAACCTAGAAACGACATAGATGTTTACCTTGCGCCGCTTATTGATTACTTGAGAAAGATGTGGGACGAAGGGGTTTCCGTTTTCGATGTTCATTAGAACGAGATGTTCACATTGCGTGCAGCCCTTATGTGGACCATGAATGACTTCCCTGCATATGGCAACTTGTGTGGGTACAAGGTCAAAGGGAAAAAAGCATGCCCCATATGTATTGATGACACATCAAGCGTATACCTTACTCATTCTCACAAAGATGTCTACCTACAGACTCGAAGGTTCCTTAGGCGTGATCACCCGTACCGTAGGCAGAAAAAGGCTTTCGATGGAACAGTGGAAGAGGATACTGCGCCTAGACCATTGACTGGTGCTGAGATTTGTGCTCGGGTGAAAGGGATACGAACGGTGTTTGGAAAATCAGAAAAAACTATGGTCTTAGTTGCTCTGTTTAAGAAAGAATCAACCTTTTGGAAGCTTCCGTACTAGAGAGAACATGGCGTTAGGCATTGTCTTGATGTGATGCATATAGAGAAGAATGTGTGTGATTCTCTTTTGGGAACGCTTATGAATATCCAAGGCAAAGCAAAGGATGGAAAGGGTGCACGGTTAGATTTGAAAGAGATGGGGATTCGTCCAGAATTGTGGCCTCAAGAAAAGGTTAGAAAGGGGAAGGAACCGAGAAAAGAATATGAAAATGTTTCGAAAAAAGGGAAGGAGAAGAGCAAGGGAAAGGGAAAGGCCAAAGATGCGTCAAAGAAGAAAGTTGAGGGTAAAGGGAAGGATGAAAAGAATTATTTACCCCCGGCTTGCTATACATTGTCAAGGGTAGAGAAACGTATGTTTTGTGCATGTCTTTACGACATTAAGGTTCCATCAGGGAACTCATCTAACATGAAAAGATTTGTAACCTTAAATGGAGAATTGAAGCTGACAAGTATGAAATCCCATGATTGTCACATTATGATGCAAGTATTCCTACCGATTGCAATCCGTGGTATTCTACCGAAATACGTGAGGGAAGCGATTACAAGCCTTTGTTCGTTTTTCAATACAATTTTTAGCAAAGTGCTTGATCCTTGTACATTAGATGCTTTGCAATCAGATGTGGTTGTGACTTTGTGCAAATTTCCCTCATTGACTAGGTGCATAGAAGAAATTTACCCAAAATGCAATCAAATATATAAATTCTAATTCACAATCCCTTGTCAAACTAGAACTAACATGCAATTAAGTTTGCTATCTTGGGAGATCAATCCAATCTAAAACAAACAACATGCCATCATCAATTCAATCAATTTAATCACACAATTATCATCAAATTTATCTCAAATAACTCAATTAACCATAACAAAGCTTCACTCAACACCTAGTAGAAGGGAATCTACTCAAACATGATTAACAAAGCAATTAATAAAGCATAAAGAGAGAAGAGAGTAAGAAATGCTCATTGATATAAAATGGAGATCTTCAAATCATCAAATTCCTCCTTTGATTATCCAAAATCCATGAAAACCATTGTGCTCCTCACTTTCCGTCTCCAAAATTTGAGAGTTTCACTCTCTAAAAACCTAAAACTAACCTAAAAACTCTTCTAAACTAAAATATCTCTAATTGACCTCTCATAGAATTAAGAATCATTTCCTTACTAGGCCCAAGCTCATTATCAAGCTCAATGCACCTAATTTGAGATTCAAAAGTAGCAATAAGGGATTCAAAAGGTGTTGAAGGTTGAGGCTCAACAAGAGAAGAAGAAGTACAACCAAGATTGGAAAAATCAACATTAAGATCATGAGCATATACATCACATTGGGGAGTGGGGGCACAATCAAACACATTAGATTCATCATTAAGGGAACGAAGCACATCACAAGAAGGCATGGTAAATAATGAAGAATATTGAAACACACCATTAGCATCAACTTGAGCATGTACCTCATCATCATGAACAAAAGAGGAAATAGAGTTGAAATCATGTGCTTTAGGTTCACTTAATGGATCATGTAACAAATCATGGGAATTCATGCTAATATTAGAAGTATCAACACATTGCATATCAATAATAGAATCATGATTACCCTTATTATAGACATCCCAAGCAAACCAAACATAAAAATCCCAAGCATCATCAATTGATAATGCTCTAAATTCACCATTATGCATGCATTCAACTTCATCCCTAGTTTGCTCATTCAAACCAAAATAAAAAATCTCACAAGCCTCCAAAAGACTACAACAATCAAAATCCAAATATCCCACAAGTCTATTGAAATATTCACAAAAAGGCTCATTGTCATATTGAGGAAACGAGTTACTTGCCATTTTTTTTACAAAAACAAGCAAAAATTAAAAAAAATAAAATAAAAAGAAAAGTATACACAAAGACCTAGACTCAAGCAATCAAAAACAATCAAGCATTGACACCGTTCCCCGGCAACGGCGCCATTTTGATCACCCTAGGGGAACTCATCTAACATGAAAAGATTTGTAACCTTAAATGGAGAATTGAAGCTGACAAGTATGAAATCCCATGATTGTCACATTATGATGCAAGTATTCCTACCGATTGCAATCCGTGGTATTCTACCGAAATACGTGAGGGAAGCGATTACAAGCCTTTGTTCGTTTTTCAATACAATTTTTAGCAAAGTGCTTGATCCTTGTACATTAGATGCTTTGCAATCAGATGTGGTTGTGACTTTGTGCAAATTTGAGATGTATTTCCCACCCTCATTTTTTGACATAATGGTTCATCTGGTTCTTCATTTGGTGTGTGAGATTAAGTTGTGTGGTCCAGTGTTCATGAGGTGGTGTTACCCTTTGGAAAGACACATGGGTACCTTACAAGATAAAGTACGAAAACGGGCTCACCCTGAAGGAAGTATGATGCAAGGGACCGTGGGTGAGGAGATAGGTAACTTTGTGGCGGACTA